GGATCTAGCTATGGTAGGTGTGTGATGTTCCCCTGAATGAGAGAGGACGCACGTGTACCTTTGACACCATGTCTGCACTAGACTTCCTCCAGCCTGCTTTTTTTTTTCTTTTTTTTCAGGGGGGAGGGAAACCTGCTCCTGAGTCACCTTTTTAGTTTGAAATAGGCAAGAAAAGCGAAAGTGGCATCCATGTCACTGTTTGAGTTTCAGAATTTGCAAGTTTAGTGTGGGGTTGAAACTATGACCGTTTTGTTCGAAGCAGTGGAAATGCAGATTTACCAGCAGTGGTTTTTTAAAATTTGCCCTGTTGTTTAGAGAACTGCTAAAGTTGCCTATTCCGAAGGCTACCTTCTTCCCTCGAATACAACGTACGGTCATTACAGCTGTATTTAGACTAAAAGATGCCCCAAATACATCTATAATGCCCGTACGTTCTATTCGGGGGAAGAAGCTTGGTGGACCCAGGAGCCGTTGCCCCTTTTTTTTTTTTTTTTTTTTTTTTATAAACATCTTGGGAGCCTACTATTGGAAGTGATATGAGCATCCCCCAATAGTAGGCCCCTAGTGATAGATAGCTCCAATATATTGGTGGGGAGCCGCACCTGCTGGAAATCGGGTCCAGCGTCCTAGTTACAGTACTGGAGCCGGTCATATCAAACAGTCGTATCATGTGGAACAACATTGATTGCCCTCTTCAAAGGGGATTAACTGTCTGCCTATTTATCAGCGAGGTTACATCCTCCTTGTGACTCCAATTGCAACTAGCAAAACCCATACAGAATTACCCAGACAATCCTTAAACCCCCTCCCAGCCTAAGAATGTTGGTGGAATTGAGGAAGCCAGTTGTAGCCTTACCCTAAGATGCTCCCTTGCCCAAGAAGTTTGCATGTTAGTTCAAGTGACTTGCAAGCATGTCAACGGGCATTTGTATGTCCGTTCATGTGATATGCAATCATGTCACTGCCACCCTGAAATTGTCTGTCACACGAAGAAAAAGGGACAGCGAGGGGACATCAGCAGCCTTTTCCCCTCCGTTCCTCATATCTGCAGAGATGGTAGTTGTTGCACAGCGAGTGTTGCCTGATCAATGAAAGCGACATACCCATCCTGACTCGTCAGTATGTATGGTTTATGTTTGATGTGTTGAGTACATTTAGCAGCAGTGCAACCTATTCCCTGGGCGCCCTAAAAGATAAGCAAAGCATGCAGAGTTGGCGGAAACCACAATCAACCCCACCCACCGTCTACGTCCTCACCCCGCCCCTCCCTACAAACCACTGGCCAATAACAGCGATTTCGTCAAAACGGACATTTTATATTTTTTGAATGAAATTGAAATTATCATTTTCATGCTGATTTTGGTGATTTTTTACGTTTTGAGTTTACCATTTTGGGTAGGTACCCCGCATTTGTTTATAGTTTGTGCTCATGGTGACCACAAGTTTTATATTGCTTTCTCACACATTTTGGGGGATGTTACAATTTTGATGGCATTATGTGAAGCTATAGGGGTCTTCATGATGGGTTTTATTGTACTTTTCTATCATATCAATTAGCATTTACTATGTTTCGCAAAATAATATCCGTTATTTTTTGTTTTTTATTGACAAATGTATTAAGACAAGATAAACATATTGAATATCATACTAAAAAACACATATGGCATGTTCAGTCAGTGACAAAAAACTCCATGGACATCTAAAAAAGTTTGAGACATTTTGTGCACCCTAGAATTACGAACAACATTATGTGAATCTTTTCGAAATCCATATAAAAGAAAAATGACTTCTTTAGACAAATACAAAGAAACATTGATGCGGAGTTTGGCTCATGCGACATATGATACCTGTGCGCGGAAATATATGTACATAAAGAGACTCCGTGTCTCTCTCTCTCTCTTTCTCTCTCTCTCTTTCTCTCTCTCTCTCTCTCTCTCTCTCTCTCTTTCTCTCTCTCTCTCTCTCTCTCCCTCTCTCTCTCTCTCGCTCTCTCTCTCTCTCTCTCTCTTTGACTAGGACAATGTCTATGAAAGTTGTTGCCCTACACTTCATATACTACTCTACACTATCGAATATGTGCAGTCGTACATAATCATACAAAATGTGGAAATTCGCTTCGACATCATTTTCAAAAAACTAGAATCCGACACATGACGATAGGTAAAATGATATGAGCACTCGCACGAGCGCATGATCTACTCTATGCCATCTCCGTCTACATGTGCTAACCTAAAACTTTTTTACAACAAAATGTCTGGAAGTGCTACAACGACGCAAGTGAATAAGGTCGTTGCTCAGACCGTTGACTCGGCGGAGTACACTCTTTGTAATGTTGAAGTTGGTGGTTAACTTGATTTTTTTTGAATTTTCGGTTGACCCCCGTTGTTTTTTCGTTCTCTGCGATGACTGTTGAGATAGAAGCAGTGATGGCAGTCCTCCGAGCAACGAATTCCAACATTGCATCCCGTGCGTGAATACAATATTGTTTAACATGCTGCTTGTACGCTCGCACCATCGAGTCTCCTGCATCACTCCGCGGGATCTTTTGTCTCCATGTCTTCATTGCACATATTGTAAGCTCTTCGTGATATTGTACAGCAACACATGCAATGGTGACGCTACATTTCTCTGTCACCGGGGCAGCCACAAGGCCGTAACCGTAGAAGACCTCCTTGTATCTTGCGTTCCCGTCGTTCGTGTAATTATTATTATTCTGACGGTCGCACACCCCCACGAGGTTGTAAATCATTTTTCTCGCGCTTAGAGGATACAAGTGCAGTGATGGTTCGTAATATGCAAAACCCCACGTGACAAGTCCGACGGCGTTACGTTGTCTCCTCAGCCGGTCTGATATCAGTTCCCCTCATTTGATTGACGTTCCCCACCAATCTTGTCTTATCTGCCTCTGCATCCATTCAGGGTCCATACTGCATGGACAAAAATAAAAAACAGAAAAAAATAAAAACATAGGCATAACAAACACAGACGAAGTACGGAACTGTGACCGTGATTTCACAAGTAATTGCGGAACGACAGTCAAAGCGGACACCGACGCAAGACGAACTGCAAGTTGTTCCGTTTGCTACTTTCACGCCGTTGAATATGATCGACAATATTAAACTTCGTTATTGTGTTAGTTTTTTTCAGTTTCTGTTTTTTTCATCTTCGTTGTGGCATGTCATTAAAGTCGTCGCCACGTGAATGACGATCCTTGACCTTTCGTTGATGAAGCGCAACATTGCATCTCTGATTTTGTTACATATATGTCTGATATACTTCAACGTTGCCCTTTGCATGGTGGTCTCTTGCTTCATCGATGACACCTTCTTTCGTTCAATCCGTGTCGCGCACCGTGTCAGGCCACCATTAGAACAAAACGCCACGCATGCCACTGATGCCTCACGCCCACCCTCCCCCCACATGTGAACTATCCCCAACCTGTAAAACGCTTTGGTCCACTTGCCACTGCCTTGCCTTGCGTTGTTTGCATCACTCCCCGCTGTCTTGGCGAGGTTGAAAACTTGTCCATGTAAAATCGAAAGAGGTACGGCATGGCGTGACCCTTGATTTTGCGATCGATGTATGGATCTATGGCGGTTTTCCAGTCAACAATCTCAGTGAGCAGCGTGCAATCGACTTCCTCTTCGCATGACGCTTTGAGGACATCGAATAGCTCGTCCATTGTATACGCATCGCAACCACTCAATTTTTTTGTAAACAAGCTGAACTTCGCATCTATGTCAGTGTGTGTGTGCCCCACTATCATGAACCCCATTTCGACGACCTCAAATATACGAAATTTCACAAGCATTGCCATGAACGCGAACTCAACACTTTGGCGATCGAGGTGACCACTGCGTTTGAGCCGTGCGAGAGATACGGGAACCACGTGTGGACAATGAGCGATGGCGTCCTACCGTGCGCGATTATCCCAGTAAGATTAGTTTTCATCATCGTGTTATTTCACATTTCTTTTGACAAACTTCTTCTCGATGCGTGAGGTATCGCTGTTTTTGCTTGACCCATTCCATCGATAATGATACACAGACTCTCGTTCGGCCTGAGCTCCGAATCAGCGGACCAAACGCTGTACTGTTTCCTACGAGGATGCTATTCTTTATGCACTCGTTGCATCTCGCGTGGTCGGTCACCTTGTCAGGCGAACGTGCCAGAAAAAGTCCCTCCACATCTTGAAGAACACCTGGTACGATGCGCAACAGACACCAAGCTTAGAGAGGCGTCTACGAATACTGACGAAGACGACTTTCTTAGTGGCGTACACCGACGGGAGCCGAATGTGGTTTCTAATCTCGAAGTTCGGGCCTGTCTCAGTCTCATCTTGCATCGGATTTGACTCGTCCAAGATGATGTCCTCGAACGCCGACCATGTAATGGCGTAGGTGGTCGTTGTCCGCGGACGGCCGTCATGGCCGTGACCAGTGATGACGGTTCCTTCATCGAGGTCATCGATGTATCTTTTGTATGTATTTATGCCAACGCCCGGTATGAGACACCATGCAGTGACGCACACAGTATGGGTTTGACTGTGGGCTTACGGTCAACCAACAAAATAAAGTTCTGTAGTTTCGCCATCCACCACTTCCTTCTTTCCTGCCCTCGGAGAACACGGTAGTCACATCTACATTTCATAACGTCCTGCAATCTAAGTTTAGAAAGACATTGGAACGTCTTACAACACGTTTTGCGGAGGACGGTCTGGCACTCGTCGAAGCTACATCTACGTTCGAAAGTGGAGGTGGATACCGAAGCATTTTTTTTTCTGTTTCTGTATGTGTATTTTCTCTTTCCTTTTTCACCGCACAACATAGACAACGCAGATATCGCGGTGTCTTCTCCGACTGGCAAGTTGATGTCCGACGAACGAGCAGCACGACCTCCCCCCTTCACTGCCTTAGCGCGATGGCGACGAAAGCATGTCCATTGTGACATAATGATCATTAGTGCGAGTCGTCGGTGGCAAATTCAACCGAACTGAAGGATCAGGAGACCCACATGCTTGTCCTGTGCCGGCATCAGAAGGCAAGACGCCGAAGTCGTTGATGATGTCGTCAAGACGAAGACACCGCACGACGTTGACATTGGAAGATGGCACAGCCTGGTCTCGCGGAAGGCGTCCGGGCATACCATCAACACGGTATGCATGATGCCCATGTTTCGACGTTGTAACGACAATGTCTGGAGACCGGCTCTCACAGGAGTTCTCAAGAGCATCGGGCACGGGCGTGTGAAAAGACTGCACAGATGGAAGCAAACTGTAGTAACTACTGTCCATCCCGCTCACCATTGAATCGCCAACACAGATGGGAACGACCTGTGAGAGGACATAACATAACAAAAAAATTGAGAACAGAAAGACACATGAAGAGGGATGCCGGTCCCCCCTTCACCACCCACCTCAGGAACTCCAGGCCACTGGTCCGATGCAGAGGGACCTGTGGATCCAGAATGCCGGAACGCGCCAACGAGCGAGCGAGCGAGCGAGAGAGAGAGAGAGAGAGAGAGAGAGAGAGAGAGAGAGAGAGAGAGAGAGAGAGAGAGAGAGAGAGAGAGAGAGAGACGGGCGGGCAGACCCCCTTCCTATCCCGGAGCACCGAAGGGGGTCCGAGAGGGCGAGATGGACCCCTTTCATCCCCTGCAGCACGAAGGGGATCCGGCGTTCCGGGAACGCCGGATCCCCTTGGTGTTGCGGGGGAGCGAGGGGGTGAGACGGATCCCATTCAACCCCCGCAGCACGAAGTGGGTCCGGGGGGGGTAGCGAGGGGCGAGACGGACCCCCTTCATCCTCCACAGCACGAAGGGGGTCCGGCGTTCCGGGAACGCCGGACCCTCTTCGTGCTGCGGGGAGCGAGTGGGGGAGACGGACCCCTTTCATCCCCCGCAGCACGAAGGGGTCCGGCATTTCGGGAACGCCAGATCCCGTTGGTGTTGCGCGGGAGCAAGGGGGTGAGATGGACCCCATTCAACCCCCCGCAGCACGAAGGGGGGTCCGGGGGGGTAGCGATGGGCGATACGGACTCCCTTCATCCTCCGCAGCACGAAGGGGGTNGGACCCCATTCAACCCCCCGCAGCACGAAGGGGGGTCCGGGGGGGTAGCGATGGGCGATACGGACTCCCTTCATCCTCCGCAGCACGAAGGGGGTCCGGCGTTTCGGGAACGCCAGATCCCGTCGGTGTTGCGGGGGAGCAAGGGGGTGAGACGGACCCCATTCAACCCCCCGCAGCACGAAGGGGGGTCCGGGGGGGTAGCGATGGGCGATACGGACTCCCTTCNCGGACTCCCTTCGTGGTGTGGGGGGGCGAGTGGGGGAACGCCAGACCCCTTTCGTGCTGCGCGGGAGCGAGTGGGCCAGACGGACCCCCTTCGTGTACCGTAGTAAGATGGCTTCCCTTCGTTCCCGGTGGACCCCTGCGCTTCTGCTGCCCGCCACTGACATCTTTCATGCTGCCGCTCTCTCTCTCTCTCTCTCTCTCTCTCTCTCTCTCTCTCTCTCTCTCTCTCTCTCTCACGCTCGCTCACACACACATACACACGCACACACACACATCAATCTACCGCGTCAATCATTTCACTTTTTTTTATATATTTACAAACAGCAACAAGAGAAGGTTGGAGGGAACCATAGTTCTCTCCCACCAATCATCCCTGCGCACATTGGTGTGGATCTATTCCAGCGCAGCAACCTATTCACCTTTTCCAGATATAAAAAAAAAAAACCAGATAAATGGTGGGAGAACTATGGTTCTCTCCCACCAATCATCCCTACCGTGATAAGTGGGGATCGATTTTTTCTACTTATTAGAAAAAGAAAACAGAAAAAAGGTGGGATAACTATGGTTCTCTCCCACCAATCATGCCTGCCCACATTAGTGGGGATCGATTCCAGCGCAGCGAGCTCTTCACATTTTCCGGATCTTACGGGGGAAAAAAAAAACATAAAAAGGTGGGAAAACTGTGGTAAAAAAAAAGACCGAAAAAACGTCGGAGAACTAAGGTTCTCTCCGGCGAGTCATCCCTGCCCAGATAAGTGAGGATCGATTTTAGTGCAACTACCACTCTTCGTTTTTTTTCCATATTTCAAAAAAAAAAAACCCAGAAAAAACGGTGGGGGAACAAAGGTTCTCTCCGGCAACTGCACAAGCATAGGATACACGACGAGCAACCAACTTTCGACATGTCATGGCCATCACAGGACCTTTTCTCGGCTCTGAATAAACAGAGGAAGGGAAGAGAGAGAGAGAGAGAGAGAGAGAGAGAGAGAGAGAGAGAGAGAGAGAGAGAGAGAGAGAGAGAGAGAGAGAGCAACGTTGTTCCGGAAAGGTCGTGCTCACGTACTTTTTATGTCATCATTTTTATGTTTTCTTTGTGGACATAAAATACTCCGAAAAGGTCGTGTTCACGTACTTTTTACGTTACAGGCCGATGGCTGACCATGCATGAACGTGTCTATATTGTCTTTCGGGCGTTACACTCGAAAAATGTCCTTCCCTACTCCAACAGGGCACAAAAAGGTGCACTTCTTATGTTTTGTTTGCAGACATAAGATATTCCAAAAACGTTATGATGTGTGTGTGTGTGTGTGTGTGTGTGTGTGTGTGTGTGTGTGTG